CAGGCTGAGGTGTGTGTGCAAGGGGCAATAGAAGGGGTTTTTAAAGGGATCTGAACGCCCTGAGGCTGGATGCCTCGGCGAATAATCATATACTTGCCCAAAACCAATACTATAAATATTCTTACCCAAAACCCCAGTACCTAATCATTGGGTACATGGACCCTTGGGGTAGGTTTAGGGTTTAGATTTTGGGGCCCTAAACCCTAAACCCTAGTCAGGTGGGACGTCCTTGGCATTCCCGAGAGCCGCTCGACCTTCGCGGTGGCGGTTCTTAGGTTGAGGGCATTGGGTTATCTGGTTTAGGATTTGAAGTTCAAGGTTTAGGGTTTAGGGTTTAGGGTTTAGGGTTTAGGATCTAGGGTTCAGAGTCTAGGGTTCAGGGTTCAGGGACTAGGGTTTATGAGGGATGGTTGATGGGAACCCTTGTACCTTATGCAGGGTAACGGTGGAACTTCCTACGAATATGGGGGCGGGGGGCGATAAAAGAGCAAACCAGGGTCTTCATGAAAAAGAGCTGAGTGGTTCCTACAAGCCACAAACAGCATCCACGCCTCTTGTAAGGAATCCTTCAACGCGGCATTGTCAGGGTTTGGGGCTATATGCTGGGTGAATAGTTCTGTTAAGTGTCTTAACATGGCTTTATTACAGGGATCGGCTTTGCTTTATATGGGCTTTTTGGAGACGGGTAGTATTGGGGGGTATTCCTTTGGGTATATGGCGGGCTCCAAGATGTTCTTCATCCGCCGTACTATGAGAAACCCTGATTGCAACAGAACACGAACAGACCTCATTCCCCAATGCCCGTCGCCAAGAACCCTAAACCCTACACCCTACCTAAACCCTATAGACCCTACCAACACAAATAGGCGGACACTGAAGCAAGGTTATCGCCTGTAGTCTCCTATAGCTGTCGTGATAGTTAAACTTGGGCTTAATAACGTTTCTGTCCTCTTGATATTAAAAAGTCTTGCGTGACCCTGGTATACAAGAATACACCCAATTTTTCCCTAAGGTGTACTGCTTTAGGGCAGTGTGCGAACAGTGTTTTTTGCCATACTAACCCCTAAACCCTACATCCAGAAGGCACACGTTGATAGATTCAACAAAAAAGAAGGTTGGTAGTAAGGGTTATTGGACGCAGTTTAGGGTTTAGGGTTTAGGGTTTCAAGGTTTACCTAAACCCCCCCAAAGTCGGTAAAATAATGGCCCAAACCCCTAGATATAGCGCCAAAGGCCATTATTCTACATACTGTTGGGGTCCAGGTAAGGGTTGGGGGGAATACGGGGGATTGGAGCTCCGCATATCAAGTCCCAGAAGGTGCCGGCAAAGACGAGATCAAGCTGGCCTATCGTCGCTTAGTACCCCGGCTGAACACTTCTATGCCGTGGTCTTGCGCACGGTATTTGCTAGATATTGTGTCTGCAGGACGTAGGAGTAGATGTTCGCGCTTCTCCTGAATCCTACAGCCCATTGTGCGTCACCCATAGAAGTGAACATTGAGGTCAGTGTGGGTGGAGGAGATTCATGCTTTGTGGGGCGCGTTGTAAGTCGCAAATACAAAAGGGGCTTAGGGCTTACGATGGTAAGTTCTATCACCCAAACCTTCGCACCAACACTTGTTACTACAGGATTAGATGCATATAGCTCCTAAAAACTGAGCCCCAATTTCATTCTAGCCCTAAATCAGTCCCTATGTAACCCCTACAGAAACCCACAAACCCCACGTGCTTGGGTTGGGCAGAGGGTCCAAGCACCCAAGAGTCAGATTGCTTCTTTTGTGTAAGTATATGACTATTGGGTACTCCGACCCTTGGGGTTAGGGTTTTAGGGCTTGGGGCTCAGGAGTTCCGCGCTAAGGGCTGAGCCCTAAGATAAGTGGCTGCGCGCCCCGGGAGTGGTTGGCTGTCAGTTTTGTCCTGATTGCGTATCCTGCGGTTTGGGGGTATGGTTTTGGGGATAAGGGTTTAGGGATATAGTTTGCCATGAAGTATGATGGTGCAATTTGTTGGCTGAATAGCTAATGGGTTTGAGCTCGTCGCCCAGAATCATCTAGCACGCAACAAGAACTGTGTAACTAGTACAGGCACAATCCAATGGTAGTCCCTAATCCCTGAAGCACAATCTAAACATATGAGCGCTAAACCCTAACCAGTAAAGCCGGAGCGCCGAGTTCTAAACCAAACCCTGAATCCCAAAACCTAAGCCAGAGATCCAAAATCCTAAGCCCAAATCAGCAGCACTAAATACTCAAGAGCCTAAGCCTTCAACCTTTATACCCTGCACTAAACTGAATCCTGAACCCTCAGCCCTGAACCCTGAGCCCTACATCATCCGTGCATCCTGAAGCCCAAGCATCCTACACCCACAGTTTAGGGTCTAGGGTTTAGGGTTTAGGCCCCGAACCCCACCCCTGAACCCCAAACCCTAAGCCTCAGTGGGTTGCATGTGATCTGTAGTTTTCATGTTTATAAACCCCCAGAAGGAATACCATCCCAAAAAGGAATAAAACCCTTGAACAGTCAGCTCAATATCCGCAGTTCTTAGGTTCTTACAAAAAAATTGGATCCTCAATCCTCAATCCCCAAAACAACCCTGGATCTTTAATCTGGAACTACAAAATTAGAACTTGGGTTCTGACCCTGCACCTCAAACCCTAAGCCTAAACCCAACATGTGTCATCTCAACCCTAAGCTGTGTGAGGCCCTGAAATATCACCCCGATGTAGACAAGTCCGAGATGGCCACGGCAAGATTTCAGGCCCCGTTTGTGACAGGGTTTCGGATTTAAGGGTTTAGGGTTTAGGGTTTGGGGTTACGGGTTAATGTTTAGGATTTAATGCTTAGGGTTCAGGTTTTGGATTTGCCACGAACTTTGATTGAGAGAGCCCGACGGAGTACTTATGTTGGCCGGAGGTGGTTAGTGCTCAGCTGTGACCATGGTTCCATTGCAGAATAAGGCCTCAATCCTGGGAAGACTCATAGCCGTATTTATATTTGGGGTAGCCCAATATGGCCACGTGAAAGGACTATCAGTAGTGTTGCAAAATATAAGCCGAGTAAACGATATTTACCAAAACCTCAAGTTCTAAACCTTAAGCCCTCAACACTCAGTTTTAAACCGTATACGTTGTATTATTCCAAGAAACCCCGCGAACCCCATAAGACTTGCAAATTTCAAAACAAGAAAAAGTCATTAAGTACCTTGAAACCCCAAGCTCCCTAAACCCGAAACCCTAGACCCCAAATTGTATGGTTTGGTCAGGAGATTCAGGTTGCCTACAAGAAGATGCTCTCAGGCAGCTACTCGACAGAGCAGCTCAGGGTTTTAGGGAGAGTGGTGTTTAGGCGGTTTACGGGCTTAAAGCGTTAGGCTTCATGGTCTAGGATTCAGGTTTTAAGGTGAGTGGTGTTTAGGCGGCTTTAGGGTTTTAAGGGTTTAGGGTGTAAGGGCTCAAGGGTTCAGGGAGAGTGGATTTAGGTTTTAGGGAGAATCTTAAGAAGATTGTTCTTTCGCACAAGCGTCCTAAAATTAACGGATTGCATCAGCAGGGTTGAACGTGCGGACTTGCTGGTCAGCAGTAATGTGTGAATGTTAAAGTGTTTCAGGACATACATACTGCTGGATGCGAAGCCACGATTCACAATTTGAGCTGGTAAGCCCCAAGCCCATTTGTAAATGCCCGCTGTAGCGGGTTCTGTTGCATCTACAGTTGGGGATTGATCGGTTAAGAGCTTAGGGTTAGCGTCAGGAGGACTTCGTTATGATTACATATATATTGTTTTCTCACAGCCGTGCAGCAAGCTCAGCTTTCCCACTTATCAGCCTACTTGTTAAGTCCTTCAGGCCTTAAACCCCATACCGGTGCCCTGTGTCTGCCCTACTGGGTATGGCGCTAATCCTCCACGTAGCCGTTCTGGATTCCCCAAATGCTAAACCTTAAAGCCTAATTCCTAAGCTTCCAACCCACGTTGCAAGGGGTTGTCTGAGCTTGCTCAGCAAAAGATCGAAATGAAGTTCAGGGTTTCGGGGCTAAGTCCAAACATTGGAGTTGTAGTCTAGGTCCCAGGCTGGTATTTGGGTACACTACAGCCCCAATATTTGAGTGATCCTCAGGCCTCAATATTCTGACAAACGGAGACGACATTACCCACCCCCCAACACAAATTGGAGCGGTACTTTGATTACGGAGAATCCGTACTCTTCATCTCCCGCTAAACCTTATAAACCTTAAACCCTAAACCCTAAACCCTAAACCGTAAACCCTAAACCCTAAACCTTAAACCCTAAACCCTAAACCCTAAACCCTAAACCCTAAACCTTCAGAATGAGATCCCAAGCCTCAGCCCTTGGGGTTGCTGTTCAAGATCTCAAACAGGAAACACCTTCCAACTATGATGTACCACGCGGTTAAGGGTTAAGGGTTTAGAGTTTAGGGTTTTTGGGGGGTTTAGGGTTTAGGGTTTTAGGGTTTATGGAACACCTTCCAACTATGATGTACCAATGTCGTCTTTAAAAACAGCCCCCTTTGGTAGAGTTTCATGGGACTCCGTAAGTTCACAGAGCCGGGACTGCAAACGTCTCCCTGAGTCCACCTCTACAAATGTGACTTTCACCAGTCCCGGAAGCCTATACTTCCTACCTCCGTGTGCTATGCGCACTTATACAAAAGAACCTCAGGCATGTGCCAGTGGTAAAGCAGCATTCGGCAAGCCATGATTTCATTGGAAGATTCCAGGCCCTTTTGGCAAACATAGTGCCAAGCTTTCAAGCCACCGCAAAGAACCCAAATTGGTTGACTTGGCAGGAGGTCATCTTGGAATCCATCGGTCTCAGGTTCAAGCCTCCAACCACATTTCGTCTGCCCCAAGGTTTCCCGGTTTTCATTGCATCCTCTCAGGCCCCACCTCGCACTACCATTTTTCATCTTTCAGCCTCCCGAGCTTTTTTTTGAAGGCTGCAGGGCTGGAAAGCCAGCTTAGCCCTCAAACCTTCCAGCGCTCCATCCTTCCAGCCTTCCAGCCTCCTAAACCCTAAACCCTAAACCCAGCCTGTTAGCTTTTGAGCCTCCCACCCTCTCCTTCAGCCTTGCATCCCGGGCCTCCCCGCATTAACCCTCCAGAAGCCTGAACAGCCTGGAGTCTACATGAGCCATAGTCCAAACTCCTAGTATCCCCTTTAATTACCTCTATAGTAGTCCCCTATATAATACCCTAAATAACCTTCTTCTAAGGAATTTAGACTATAGTTCACATGAAATCCACTAACCTAAAACACAAGTTCCTTTCCGGATGTATAGAAATCAGGCGGCCTCGGGCCACGGGCTTCGGAGATGGTATAAACAACCTGTTAGACCCTTTTAAGATTCCGGGTGCTAGAATAAGTAAGCGGCGAAACTCCTAAACCCGGAACGCTAAATTTTAATCGTACCTAAACCCCCCAAAGTAGGTAACATAATGGCCCAAAACCACTAAATAAAGCCCAAAAAGCCATTATTCTGCATACTTTTGGGGTCCAGGTAATCCTGATATTGGAGGCAGATCGCCCGGCGCTGAGCCAAGGGCGCGGTGGAGACAGGCTGCTGCGCAAAGGAGTGACCATTTGCAAAGGCTTCGGGGTTAAGGGTTTCGGGTTAATTTAGGGTTGCGGGCTTCGGGTTTAGGATTGGGCGTTGAGGGTTTATGGTGCATAGGGTTAAGCGTTCGGGGTTTCGGGATCAGAACCCTTCACTCGGTCCCTTGTAGAACGTAGTCCCTGAGATTTAGAATGTAGGAGACTCAAAGATGTAGCATAATTTGGCCCAACTCCCCACATTACATGAGAAACCCTAAACCCTAAACCCTAAACCCAACCACAACCTCCCAAATTCAGGGATCCTATACAGTCCTATGAGCTCATATTATAGTCATAGGGTTCTATTGTGGGTTTAGGGTTTAGGGTTTAGGGTTGTAGTCATAGGGTTCTATTGTGGGTTGGGGGGTTGCGTAAAACCTCCCCCATGTTTTCACAACTCCATTACACTTCACCTTTAACATCCGAGGGGCACACCACCATTTGTTTGATCTCATAGCACGGCAACATCAAAATGCATGTCATCAACATTTTTATCCGGTCGTGTTGCCTGAACCCTAAACCCTAAACCCTGTACCGACCCTAAGCCCTACACCCTAATCCCTAAATCAGTGTGACTGCTGCTTAGGGGTTTAGCCAACGGATTCATTAGGGTTTAGGGTTTTGGATTTAGGGTTTAGGGTTTAGGGGCCGTTGAAGATCGACTGATGTACTTGAATAATTTCGTGATCGCTGATTGGAAGCTTGCGCCACCTAAGGATTCTTACGACATAGTTCTTGCGAGGCTATAAACCACTTAACTCAGCACCCTATGGGGTGCAAGGTGGTGCAAGATGTAATTGGGTCAGAATGTCAATTCGTCATAGACTCCCCGCAAAACCTACAAGTTCATGTTTACTGGAGGGCTAAGGGGACTTAGTGGAAAGTCTGTGAGTAACAGAGTAACACTCTTTGGAGCCTAAAGCATACAGACTGTAGGATCCCGCTCTACACCATGCTGCAGGAGAGAGCCCACCACAGCGAAGAAAGCTGCTTCCCCAGGGCGCAGTTGGTCAAAGGGTTCTTGGCTCAGAGTCTCACAAGATTCAGGAATAGAGTTCAGGGTACCCGAAGGGTTCAAGTATTTAATATTCATATCCTTACCCAGGCCCTATATTATAACTATTATCCAATTCCCCAGTACTCAATTATCGGGTCTAGGACCCTTAGGAGTAGGTTTGTAAGCACCGCAAGTAGGATGAACAAAGATGAGAATGAGGGCATGTTCTTAATGCAGGCGCAAGCTTGTGACAGGGCTTGGACATCGGTTGGTAAGGGAATTCTGCGGGCGCTTTAGTTACCCCAACGCTTGAAATTAGGACGCTCTACAGTCATGTTTATAGGTTGGGTACTGCTGCCACTCAGTAACAGTTGCATAAGATTCATAATATGACTATATATAGAGCCCTTAGTAAGACCCCCATTCTAGACTGTTAATGGGTGGGGGCATCGGGCCCCTACTGTAGTGTAGGTACGACTCAAACAGGGCAAGTGCAGTCCAAAATTCTGGGCCATGTTCAAAACCCTAAACCCTAAACCCTATTCTGGGCCATGTTCAGGGCCTGCTGCGAGCTTTGGTGCCGCCAAAATGTATAGTCCCCCTTAAGTAGATGGAATATTGCTTTGGGTAAGTCAGAATAAGATCCCCATATACCCCCATATTCTATCTACTTACAGACCCCAATCTATACCTCATTATAATACAGTAGTCACCATTTTCTTTAACCCCATTATATACCCAGACCCCCTAAAGGATCCAAAAAAATGGACCCCCCCCCCCCGCCAATATGAACCCAGTACTACATTGGGGAAACTAGGGGATTATTAGGGGTTCCTTTTTTGAGATCCTTTAGAGGGGGACTGTAGCTACAAGGCCCGGGCCACACCTCGATGTTCATCGAATATGCCACCTAGATCCAAGCCCACCTGGACCCTGGAATTTGGGAAATGGAAACTACTGCAATATAATAGGGTATATATTGAGGCTAGGCTTACTAAGGTTCTGCTACCCAGTTCTCGGACGCCTTGATCCTAAACCCGATGCTTTTCAAATACAGCTAAAGATCCCTTTAGCCCGTTTAAAGGGACCTTTATTTGGTGGGTTATGGCCCGCTTGGCCTCAGCAAGCAAAGGCGCTGGCGCCAATGGGGCACAACCGATGGATACGTTTCGTATCTCTGACGCGCTGGATGGCCTTCTGCCATCGCGCACCGTGGGCTAAGAGTTCAGAGTTTGGGGTGTAGGGTGGGGCTTTGGTTTAGGGTTGAGAGAATGTGGTTTTAGGGTTCACCCTTAGGTTCATTGGACTTAGTAACTATTCATTGATTCATTGCTGGGCTTGTAGCCTGTCTTGTTGTCCGTCCGATGCCTTCAAAGGGGTTCTGTCAACTCTGAGTAGGGTTGGTACGAAGTCCCTTGACCCCCCATTACAAGGTTCAGGAATTGGGTTTAGCTACCAAGCACTTCTTAAAGAATGCAAACTAGGTGGAGGGTATCTTTTAGCCCTCAACCCTGGACTGTGTAGGGCCTTGGAGAGTGCACCGCACCAAATTTGAGTATGCCGGGTAAAGGTTTGGAAGGGGGGGTAGAAATTCATTGGGTTCTTGGACTCTACGGGTAATTAAAATCAACAGTCTGAAGATGATCCAGAAAACTTTTCAGAATGCTTGCAGGGGACTGCGGATCTAGAGTCTAGATTTGCCTTGCAGGGCGGATGACTTTACACAAATAATCGTTTCACTCTAGCTCGTCGCAGATTTGGGCCGATTATATAAATTGACGCCATGCTTTTTGAACCGTGTATACAAGTCTGCCTAACCCGCTACGGGGTAAGAACTGGTAGAGTAACCTTAGCATCTGAGGGGCGAAGTAGACCTCAGTTACACAGGGTTTCGGTTTGGGGTCTAGGGTCCAGGATTCAGAGTCTAGGGTTGGGGGTTTAGGGTCCAGGGTTTATGGTTTAGCTGGGCTTAAATTTGAACGACCCATGACTGATCACACGGCGAACCCGCCTTGAAGGCTCCAAAGGACCTTGTACGGGATGTGGGAGGTACTTGGAGGTTCATGGGACTTAGTAACTATTTATAGCTGGGGTTATAACCCTATGTATAACTGGGGTAACCCCTATAAGGCCATTTAGGGGGGTTATAAGTAGGGTTCTAAGCCCAGCTATAAGCAGTTACTAAGTCCCATGAACCTCCAAGTAGAGTGCTTGTGTTGAGCTCTATCAGGTCTTCAGAATCGTCACTTGAGTGAGACTGCAAGGCTTTTGGAACCAAGGGGTCTCAGAGTCTGGAGAAAGGGCACTGACTCCATATGTCGCCCTGGAACCTTGCACAACAAAACCCTAAAAGTCCATATGCCCAATATTTGGGTACTTTGGATTTGGGTAAGAATGATTATAGTACAGGTTTGGGGTAAGTATATGACTATTGGGTACTTGGACCTTTAGGGAAACCTGTCTACTTCCATGTACAGGCATTGAAGCAGATAACGACAGGGTTTCCTCAATGTACCGACCTAGGTCGATAATAGAAACAAAAATGTGTCAATATCATTATACCTGCACTTAAACCTAGGAAAGGGAAAACGATTAAAGAGACCGCCCAAACCCTGCATCCTAAACCTCAAACCCAGTTTCATATTCCAATTTGTTTGTCCTCAGCAGCACTGCGAGATGCATTGGATCTGGTTCCTACTCACAACCTGAAATACTCGCCGACGTGTTACCGGGGTAACCCGCACAGGGGGATGATAAGTAGGATTATGGCCTCAGTTCTGAGGAGTTAATGAGACCCTAAGCCCTAAACCCTAAGCCCTGAACCGTGTTCTCCAAAGTAGCGTTGAGGGCTTAGGGTGCGAAAGATGCCAACCCGGCCCTTCCAACCCTAAACCTTAAACCCTGAGGTGAGACCATTGCGTACGCCATGATCTTCCTGATACTGGCGCCCTATGCGGCAGGCCTCCCCCTACAGTCTATAAGCATTGAACCCTAAATCAGAAAACCCTGAGCCGTGAAGCCTAATCCCTGGAGGCTAAACCCTAGACGTTAAATGCTTGAATCCTAAGCCTGAAGTGGAGTTCTTGGGCTGGATGGAGGAAATCTTGCACCAGCCTATATGGAGGGATTTTGCACTGCATCAGGTGGGCATCTCTAGTAGTGCAACATGCCGCCTATCAACAGTATAGGCTGTATAGCCCTACCTGGACCCCAAAAGTATGTAAAATAATGGTCTTCATGGCTGTTATTATGGGTTTAGGGCTATTCTTTTACATACGTTTGGGGTTCAGGTAAACCCTAAACCCTAAACTCCTAAGCCCCGAACCACATACTTGCTTGCTTCGTGCTACTTGGAGGTTCATGGGATTAGGTTAATCGCTGGTTATAACCGTTCTCTGACTCGGGGTAACCCCTTTTTGGCAGTCCGGGTTAGCGGAAGTATTCAGTCTTAAGCCCCAAGAGGCTCCAGGTTTGGCACCAGTAGCCCAAGAATCTTTAAACCCTAAATCCTAAACCCGAAACCCTAAATCCTAAACCCTAAACCCTAAATCCTAAACCCTAAACCCTAAATCCTAAACCCTAAACCCTAAACCGCAAAGTTTGTAGTTCGTTCCTTGGTCCTCTGGGGATTCACTTCCCAGTTTTGAGGCCCGTGGGGATCTCCGATAAGGGTTCGGATCTAAGTACATAGCAGTCATATGAGCTACTTCAAACTGTTAATCTCTCGGTGGCTTCGCCCCTAGAAACCTTAAATCTAAACCCTCAGCCTTAAATCTAAGCATCTACAAGCCCTAAACCCTAAATGTAAACCTTAAACCCTAAACTTAGGCGTTAAACCCTAAATCCAAACCCTAAACTGAAGCCCTAAACCCTAAACCCTAATTGTCATGCTAATGCTAGGCTTGGTCTACGGCCTGGGCAGTCTGCTGTCCAAGGTCTTTCCAGGACTCATGTTGCGGGCCCTGGGGCTGTTCATTTGAAGGGTTTGAGGCCCCTTTAAAGGGAGAGGTATGTATATATGTATATATATACATATATACATATATATATATATTTCTATATGGGGTTCAGGGTTAAGGATTTCCACACAGTGGAGCTTGAATCTAGCCCGAGGTTTTTGTAATCCTTGATAGAGGCACCCCTTAGAAAGGCATCCCAATTTGAGAAAACCCCGAAAAAAAATGTGCTTGGCCTGTACGTGTGCTCCAGCATAATGGCTTTCAGAAACCCCTCAACCCTAAACCCTAAACCCTAAACCCTAACCAGTGTTCCAGCATCCTTTTAGCGGCCTCAGGCCCTAAAACCTAAAGCCTACTTGGGGGGTTTGGGGGGACTTAGTAAGAAGGTAAATAATGGGGACAACTGGGCTTATGGGTTTTAGGGGTTATTGACCTGCTTCCCTGCAAGTATACCCTAAAAGCTAAATCCTGAACCCTTGAGGGTATGTGAAGTACCTACATCCGACTTGAATGCTGTGGATATGTGGATACCTCCGTTGCTTATGTATCTCAAGCTAACGTATGAGGCAAGTCTTAGCCCTTAAAGTGATCCCTATTATCGACTGTTAATGGGTGAGGGGCAGGACCCAAGGGAAGACTGTTTTGATTTGTCTTCCAGGGCGTTCTCTCTGGCAGTGGACAGAAAAGGGGCCCAAAAAAAACAAGCCTAAAACCCTAAACTCTAAACCCTAAACATACACCCTACACCCCCACCCTGCACCCTAAACCCACCATGTTTTGCAGAGGTGCCAGCCCTCCGTAGGTCTGAGGGTTTAGGGTTTAGGGTTTAGGGTTTGGAGCGTGCTTGGGTTGTTAGGGTTCAGGGTTTAGGTTTAAGGTTTCGCGTAGCATGGTTTTAGGCGTCCAAGTCCATGCAGACTGCGGCATTAGGGACCTGAGTATCCATGATTTGGGTACTTGGGCTCAGACCCTGCTAGTCCCCCTTTTGTAGATAGAATATGGCTTTGGGTACATTGAAATAAGATCCCCATATACCCCATATTCTATCTACTTAAGGGGGACGATATATAACCCTTGAGGTCTTTACACATCCCTAGAAGGCCCCATATATCTGTACCAACCCGTTGACAAACCCTGGACCCTAGCCCCTATATCTCTAAGCCCTAAACCCCTAAAGGCTTTGGGTTGAGTGAGGATAGCATGGAACCTGAAAAGATAGTTTTTCATGATCATGTACTGGGTAAATATATGATAGTTCATCGGCCCCTTTATACATATTTCATCTGTGTGTTCAGAGGGAGGATATATGGTTTGTAGCCCTAAGAGTCCAAGGACCTAAATAATAAGGTTTTAGGGTCCAACTACCAAGAATATTATAGTATTTGGGCCCTNNTTGGGTCCTTGGAACCTCAGGGTAGTGTGGACTCCCCCAAAACTAGCTTGCACATCCGTGAAGCCGTGATAGTCTTCGCAGGGCCGTTTTGTGGCTCCACGTAGCTCTTAGGGGCTTAGGGTTTAGGG